AACAAAATATTATTGTGCAATAAGAAACAACAAACATGAGGGATGCAGAAAACTAGGGAAGATATGTATGAGCTAGCAGAAAGAACACTGGTTTGCAAGTCAGAGCACCTAGATCCAAAAAAATGAAAGACTTGGATTAGGTAACTTCTGAGGTTCCTTCCAGTGCTAGATCCAGGATGTCACAAAGCAGAGTGAAATACACAGAACCAGAAGAATCTATCCAATGTATCTGAAAAGATGCCTAAAAGGAAGCTAAGCCTCTGAGAAACAGAAAAACCAATAATGGTTCCAGAGGACTGAGAGTGACACATCCTTCCCTTCTCTCAGCAGAGAAGTCAGGGATTTTGGGCAGCATTCTTCATGCTGCAGACACAGTCACTGTACTAGGGTTTTTGCTTAACTTTTGGGGGATGGTGGTGGGTGGAGAGACTCCAAGACATAATTCTGACATAATAAACAAAGGGCACCAATAAAATGTATTTTTAAAACTAGCAGGTTCGTTCACAATGCAAATCTTTTGCACACGACTGTTTATTGATGATTAAGACTATGGAATGAGGAATGTAGAGATAAATGAACAAAACATAATTATAAAAAAAGGATATAACCTATAAACACTCAACTATCACAAGCTTTATAGCTTTTCCTTTGCCAACTATTATATTTTATGTTGTCCCATAAGACAATATCAGTGTTCATATATATTCAGAACTTAAATAACAGGACTGCAGAAATATTAACTTTTGACTCAGTCTTCATCAGTGATATTCTAATCAGATATGATGACAAAAATCTGAGGCAATGAATAAGTCAGGAATTAAATTTGATGTCCTTGCCCCTTTGCTTCTATTGCTTTGCCCTCTTACTCAACAACTTATCCAAATCTGACTCATTCTTTAAGGTCTCTCCATCAACTCTCTTCTATAAAATCTCCATTTATGACTCCATTCCTTAGCTTTCTGCTCTTCCTTGTAAATAATCGAGCACTTACCTAGAACACTCAACAGAGGTAGAAGGGACTTTCCAGATCATACATTATATACAACATCCCTATCCCCTTTTCAGGGTTGTGGGAATTGAGGTCTAGAAAGGTTATGTAATTTGCCAGAGGTCACACAACTAGTTGGTAGTAAGGCTCTACATAAAAATCCAGGTATCTTCTCAAATGAGTGCTCTTCCTTTTATACCTCTTTTATAATTCCTCCTGGGGCACTTACTCACATATTACATATAGATACAGAGCAATGTCTATATCCTGATTTCACTTCACAGAATATACTTATCGTAATATCACAGTTTTAGAAGTGAAAGGGACCTCAAAGATCAACAGGGGTGGGGAACCTGTGGCATCAAGGCCACATGTGGCCCTTTGACAGAATACAAAATTCACAGAACAAATCTGCAGGTTTCCCAACCCTGATTCTAGTTTAACTCCCTCATTTTATAAATTAGATTACTCATAGCCAGAGAGGTAAAGTAACTTGCCCAAGGTCAAAGAGCCACTAAGTGTCAGAGCCAGGATTTGAATCTAGGTCATCTGACTGCAAACTGAGCCCTCTTAACTACTTCCTTCAATTGTAATGTAAGCTTTTCAAATACAGATACCATGTTTCATAAATATATTTCTTGAAGTTTTAGCATAACATGGATTCTCATAAAAGATACAGGTCTTGAGAATACATTTTAAAATAGTTGAAATGAGTTTCTAAACTCAGAAATATAACATTTTCAAAATTAGTTTCATAAAAGAAGCCAGATTAATACAATTCTCTCAATTTAACTACAGTTTCTAAAATAACTTGTTCTGGTTCTCAAAACAACCAAATGAAATAAAAGATTCTGAAGGCTACGTATCTGCCAGTTTTTATATGTATGTATATGAGTGTGTGTATATCTATATCTACATATTTCTATATTTATCTATATATATCTGTGGTTATCTGTGTCAGATATGTAGCTAACATTTTCCAAAGTGATTACGTGAATGCTAGTTAAATTTACCCCCAAGAAATTTCTGGCATAGAAGGTTTTCGGTTATTATTTCTTTAATATGTGAATAACTGATGCCTGCACAATAACTAAATTACTTACCTAAAACAATGCCAAAATGAGAGATCACTAAATGTAACCACTCTTTCTTAGTATGATCTCATCCATTCTCCTGATTTCAATTACTACTCCTACACAGATGACTCAAATCTATGTATTTTCCCAACCTCTCCTCAGTACTCTAGTTCTGTATTTCCATTTATTTGCATCTAAATTGCATTACATACATTTAAATGCAACATGTTCAAAACTTAAGTAGTCATAATGTCACCACTCTTTTCCTAATCAGTCAGGTTTGTAAGTTCAGGTACTTCCCCAAACACTGCCTCCTTGATGGCAGGAATTTTACCTTTTTTTCTTCCTTTCTATACCAAGTGCCTGGAGCACAGTAGGTACCTAGTAACTGTTTGCTGAAGTCCTTCCAATTTTACCTGAGACTCTCTCCTATCCCTATCCTCCTCTCCAGTTCTACTGACACCTCCACAGCTCAGGCCCTCATTTTCTCATGCAGGCTAGCACAATATCCTAGCCATCTTCTTGATTTCAATCCATTTCCTTTTCAGTCCAATCATCAGGATTCTGTCTTAAAAAAAAAAAAATCTTCCTAATGCACTGCTCTCTGACAATGACATTCTTTTTTTTTTTTTAATTAGGCAATTAGGGTTAAGTGACTTGCCCAGAGTCACACAGCTAGTAACTGTCAAGTGTTTAGTCTGAGGCTGGATTTGAACTCAGGTCCCCCTGACTTCAGGGCCAGGGCTCTATCCACTGCGCCAATGACATTCTTCTATTCTAAAATCTTCAATGGTTCTCCAATGCTTACTATACCAAGGGTACATTCCTGACCCTAGCTTTCAAGACCCAGTCTGGCTCCAACTAACTTTCTTGTACTACTATTCCCTTCAAATTAAGGCCATTATTTTTTCCTCATTTCCCACTGCCAAGCCTTTGCTGACAGAACTTCCTAGGCTTTGAACAGATTCCTTCTCTCTTACTATGTTCAAACCCCTTTCATCCCTTCCTAACACCCTACACCTCCTTCCCAGTATCTGTCTCCATAAGTAGTTCTTCCTATCCAGGTCCAATTCAGGGGCTATATTTCCAATGTAGTTTTCCCTCCCCAGCCTTCCCTCCACCCCCAGAACTTATCTTTCCCCCAAAATTCCTCATATCATTTTGACTGAATTGAACCACAGTTATCTATCTCATTCTCCTTTGTGTTAAGAGTTATTTATTTAGCCTTTCTTGCTTCCCAGCCATCTTAGTGGCAAGTCTCTGGCTGAGGGTCCCCCCACTCTGCAGGCAGGAAGATGGTGGCCACAAAGAAGATGAAAAAGTCGCTGGAGTCCATCAACTCAAGGCTCCAGCTGGTCATGAAAAGCGGCAAATTCATGCTAGGCTACAAAAAGACCCTGAAAAGGCAAAGCCAAATTGATCATCTTAGCCAACAACTGCCTAGCCTTGAAGAAATCAGAGATTGAATATTATGCTATGTTGGCCAAAACTGGCGTACATCACTACAGTGGCAATAACATTGAATTGAGTACAGCATGTGGGAAGTACTAGAGTATGTACACTGGCTATCATTGACCCAGGTGATTCTGATATCATCAGAAGCATGCCAGAACAGACCAGTGAAAAGTAAACTGTACAAAAGTATTCTTTAATAAGCTGGCCAAAATTTGTTTAAAAAAAAAAAAAGGGTTATTTATTTATATATTTTCCATTCAATTATAAACTACTCAAGGACATGGCCTATGGCACTAAATATTCAATGTGCTATTTCCACTTGAATGGAACCTCACATATTTACTTACATTTCTGTTAATATACAGAAGTCCTCCCCAAATTGAAGTACTTGGATGAATGGGTTAATCATTTAGAAAGCCAGCGAAAAGTATCATTAAGTAAAAGTAGTTTTGAAAAAATAGCATCTTGAACTAGCCTAAAATAATATGGTCAAATTAAGAATAATTATAATTGATAAGAATCACATTTTATCTACTGTTCATATGTAAATGACGCTTCTAAAGTGCTTAATAGGTTTATTCTCCAGTAAATTAAAGATTCTTTTTGTACTATTAACTTACATGGCACAATGTCCTTTTAAAAACTATATTTATCCCAAGAAGTTACAAAACTGTGCATATACTTTGATCCACTACTAGGTCTATATCCCAAAGAGATCAAAAAAAGAGAAAAAGGACTGATATTTATAAAAATATCTATAGAACTCTTTTTGTAGTAGCAAGAATTAGAAAATCGTGGGCATCAGAGGATGCCTAACAAGTGGGAAATACTAAACAAGTTATGATATGTGCATGTGATGAAATACTATTGTGCTATAATAAATTATGAAAGGATGGTTTCAGAAGAACCTGGGAAGACTTATGTGAATTGATAACAAAATGAACAGAACCAGAAGAACAATCTGTATAGTAACACCAACACTGTAAAGATAATCAACTTTGCAAGACTTAGGAACTCTAATTAATACAATGACCAACCAGGACTCCAAAGGATTCATTACGAAACCTGCTAACCACCTCCTGTCAGAGAGGTAGACTCAGAGTAAAGACTGTGACTTTTTTTTTGGACATGGCCGATACAGGAACTTGTTTTGCTTGATTACACATGTTTGTAGCAAAGATTTCATTTTTCTTTCTTTCTCAATGGAAGGGAGAAAAGAAAGGAAGAAGGGTCTTGGTTAACTGCAAAAAAAAATTAAATCATATCTATCATAATCTTTACCCAAATTATTAGGAATTCCAAATTGGCAGGGTTAAAATTAATGTAAAATCATTGTATCCTAAATCCACAACATGAAAGTTATACTAACAACATGTTATAATAACAACATAAAAAGGCTGGTTTCCTTATTCTGGTTAGTATAACTAAATAGCCATCATTATCCTATATAGCAGCAGTTTATTCTCTGAAATGCTTCCTACCTTATATAGGCATGGCCTAGAGATTTGCAAAACTCTTCAATTGCCATTGCTTTTGTCCCATTCATATTAGAAAGATATCCTGGGATGAAAATAACACCTGGGGTTTTGCCTTTTAACTTCTTATAAGCCAGATTTGGAAGGTCGGGTCGACTAAGGAAAGAAAGATTTGTCTTCCATCTGCAAACTAAAAAAACCAAACAAACAAAAAAAAAAACAAACAAAAAAAAACCACATTGAAATATCATCCTTTCCTTGTACAAACATCACTTTACTAGGAACACATCAAAATATTTTCAAAACTGATAAACATAACTCTTGTTTTGTGCCACACATTCCAAGAAACATCAAATAGTTCATTTTGGTTACAGTAAAGAATAATACAAAGTGAGGGCAATGAGAGATATATTTGAAAAGAGCAAGAATATAGAGGATCTAAATGTTAGTCTGCATTAATATGTATTTTATCTGCTTAGTAAGTGGGAATAAATTAAGGATTTTGAGCAAGGAGTTATTGACTAAAGCTATGCATTAATCTGACAATACTTCATAAAATGCATCTCAGTTGGTAAAGAGGTAGGAAGAAACCAAACAGGCCAAGAAAGTACAACAGTCTAGGTGAAAGGCAATGACAGCCTGAGCTAGAGTGCTGGTGAAACAAACTAGAGTGTGAAATTTGTTGTTCCTAGTCACAAGGGTTTGACAACTCAGTGGATGGTACAGAGTGCGGAAGAAGAAAATCAATGATAACAGCTAAGTGGTGCAATGGATAGAGAGGAAGGCCTTAAGTCAGCCATCTTCATGTGTTCAAATCTGGCTTCATATTTTCATTTTTTTTTCTTTTTTTAATTAATTTCTTTTGAATTATCAACAACCATTTCCATAAGCTTTTGAGTTTTAAATTTTTCTCCCTATTCCTCCCCACTTCCTTCTTCCAGACAGCGTGCAATCTGACATTGGCTATACATACACATTCCTATTAAACATAGTTTCACATTAGTGATGTTGTAAGAAGAATTAGAACCAATAGGAGGAACCACCAGGAAGAAGAAATAAAACACAGCAGAAGAAAAAAAAATAGCAAATAGTATGCTTCGATCTGCATTCAAACTCCATAGTTCTTTCTTCTTTGTGGATAGCATTTCCATCACGAGGCCTTTGAAGATGTCTTAGATCCTTGTATTGCTGAGAAGGGTTAAGTTTATCAATATTAGTCATCGCACAACATGGCTGTTACTGGCTGTTATTGTGTACAATATTCTCCTGGATCTGCTCACTTCACTCAGCATCAGACCACACAGGTCTTTCCAGGTTTTTCTGAAGTCAGGCTGTTCATCATTTCTCATAGCACCATAGTATTCCATTACATTCATATACCACAACTTATTCAGCCATTCCCCAACTGATAGGCATCCTCTCAATTTCTAACTCTTTGCCTCCACAAAAAGAGCTGCTATAAATATTTTTGTACATATGGGTCCCTTTCCCATTTGTATGATCTCTCTGGGATATAGCCCTAGAAGTCCTATTGCTGGGTCAAATGTACATTTTTGGTTGGATCATTTCACAACTCCACCAACAATGCATTAGCATTCCAATTTTCCCACATCTCCAACATTTATCATTTTCCTGTTGTGTCATGTTAGCCAATCTGACAGGTGTGATGTGGTACCTCAGAGTTGTTTTGATTTGCATTTCTCTAATCAAAAGTGATTTAGAGCATTTTTTCATATGACTATAGATGTCTTTAATTTCTTCATCTGAAAAGTGCTGGCCTCATATTCTTACTGGCTGTATGACCATGGGAATGTAACCTAACCCTGTTTGCCTCAGTTTCCTCATATGTAAAATGATCTGGAGAAGGAAATGGCAACCTATTCCAGTGTCTTTGCCAAGAAAACCCTAAAAGGAGTCTCAATGAGTCGAACGAGTCTGAAAACAACTGAACAATGAAGGATAACATCAAATCTTCAAGCATAGGTGACGACAGTGCTATTAATAGGAAAAGGGAAGGAAGGAGATTTGGGAGAGAAATTATTTCAGTTTTAGTTTTAGACATGTTGAGTTTGAACTACTGGAAGGACATATAGGTTAGAAATCATAAGTTCATAGATCTAGAGGGCAAAGGGCCCTTATAGGTTACCTAATTCAATTTCCTCATTTTACATATGAGGAGACTGAGATGCAGAGAAGTCAAAAGACTTGCCTAAGGTCACAAAAGTTGGGGCCCAAGTTCAGTGCTCTTTCTCTTGTACCACAGTAGATAATTGGAAATGTGATTGTGGACCTCAGGAGAGATGTCAAAACTAAAAACACAGATGTGGAAATCAACTCCACTCTAAGCTTTAAGAACATGGCCTACATTTTCTCTTTCTTTTTTGTTCTTCAACAACATCTAATTCAGTATTTAGACACAAGAGAACTTTTGGTGAATCAATGTCAGTAAATTTTCTCTGGCAATATTAAAAACTGTCTTTGATCTACAAACACTGGTTAAAGATAGGTAATCTTTTATACATGAAGCAATTCTTTTCATACCATTCACAAAGTCAAAAAGATTAGCAAAATCCATTCAATTCAAAAAACATTTATTAAGTGTTTTTAGTATATGCAAGATATATGAGTAAGGGCAGGAGTGGGGAACCTGGTTCCCCATCCCTGGTCCTAGAGAATATAAAAAACAACAGAAACAACAACAGAAAAAAACCCCTAAAAACTTAATTATGCCTGTTCACAACGATCTTATATTCTTAGACAAAATACAACATGTACACAATATAAAGTAAAACAAAGCAGTCTCAATAGGATGAGAGTGCTAACAACTAAAAAGATTAGAAAAAGGTCTCTAACAGGTGGTGACACCTAAGCTATCCTGCATTCATAAATCTGAGATTCCTCAAGGTGGAGAAAAGGCGTACAATCCAGATATAAGGACCAATTTCTCATTTTAATACAGAAACTGATACTTTGGGGAAACTAATTCAAATAAATGCTAACCTGCTTTAGTTGTTAAGATATCAAAGCATAGCATTTGTAAATTTCTTTATTTGAACAAAATATAGGTAGATTACAATAGGAAGGTTTAAAAAAAAAATCTCCCAACATATCCAAGAGTCTGGACTTAATATAAAAAAAGGAAATTAAGGTCAAGTTGACTGACACCTGGATCCCAGGTTATGAACTGGCTCTAAACGGCAGAGCATTAAACTCAACATAAATAACTTGAATAAATTTGCGTGCAGAACATAACCAAAGAAACACCCTTCTCAAATTAAAAACAAAAGGCAGGACACGGAACCTGGGGCTCCCAAAACGATTTGACCACCGCTCCAGCCAATTTTCCCCTCCCTCTCTTCTTTGTGCCAGATTTGAGAAAAAAATAATTGAAAACTACAGTGCTGAAAAATGATTAGAGCTGTGTGTCTGTGTCCGAATATGGAACGGTGCTGGGGATTTAAATGTGAACAGGACGCAGAGAGGAGACAGAAGAAATGAAGAGGGAGGGGCAACAGAAGGGGAGATGCAGAAGAGGGGGAGGAGGGAGGGGAGGGGAGGGGGAGGAGTGAAGGGGAGGGGGGAAGAGGGGGAAGAGGAAGTGGAAGGGCCACTGATACCAAAGGAGGCCCAGACGCGGGTCAGGCCCAGGAAGAGCATGGCGGCCGCCGCTCCTCCGGACACTGACCTGGGAGCCTCCGTGGCGTTCTCTCGATCCTTCGGGAGAGCAACGCCGTGGGGCCGAAGGAGATGGCGGCAAAGTCCCAACTCTTCCGCCGCACCAAAGCTGCAGCAGACACCAGCGACCAGCCTCCCGCCATCTTCCCGGCAGCCCGGCCGCCTCCCCTCCGCGCCTGCGCCCTTTGATCCCCGCGTAGCACGCAGGGGCAGGGGTGGGGGACGTCCTCGTCGTCGCTCCTCCGTTTGTACCTGAGCACCCTCCCCTCCCGCGCCCTACCGGAGCGCTCCGCCCCTCCCCCACCCCGAGGAACTGATTACCGGGGCGACCTCCAACCCCGGAAGTCCTGGGTTCATATTGGGGCTGCTACACTGAAGGCTGTGTGACCGTAGGCAACTCGCTAGAGGGCGCTTCCTCTCCTGGGGCCTAATTGCTTTCAAATTTGTATGTGTGTGCGTGTGTGTGTGTGTGTGTGTGCGCGCGCGTGCGCGCCTTTATGTCTCAGTATCTGTGTGTCTGTGTATGTGAAAGGGGAAACACGCGTGGAACATTGTGTGTGTATCTTTGTGTGTCCGTGTATGTGACTGGGGAAGCATGAGTGGAAGATTGTGTGTGTGAGAGGGGAAGCATGCCAGGAATGCCGCGTGTGTCAGTATTTACTTGTGTCTTACTGTGCGTGTGTATGTGTGTGTGTGGAGGGAGACAAAATAACACAGTGAATAAAAGCAAAGAGATTTGATCTGGAAAACCAGTACGAGGCGGGGCTGTCGGGCAGGAACGACGAGGGCCTGAAGTCCAGAGCTGAGGAGTGTGGGCTACGTCCGTGGTCAGTGGGTTGGCATTGAGTTACTATGGAGTTTTTGACCCGGGACAAAAGTCAAAGTGGTACGTTAGGAAGACTGATTGAGCAACTCCTCAATCAAGCCTTCCAAACCTTTTTTTATTTTCTAAAACTCCCAGCTCTTCTTCTGTCTCTAGGCAAATGACCTTGTCTTCAGCTCTACTGATAAGATTGAGGTCATTTGATTGGGAGCCTCCTCTAGGACATTAAACCTGCTCCCTCTTCCCTCTTGTTCTTTTCTTCTCTTTGTTTTCAAAGAATAAGATGGCCCTTCTCTTTACTGACACACACACACTCACTTGTACCCTTGTTCTTCTCACCCCATCATTGCACCTCTGACACCTAACAATGCACCATGGCCAGTAGACCCTTAATAAATGCTTGTTCATTTATTTACTAGATAGCACAGATATCTTAGCAATGATTTAAAATTACAAATGGTGTCCACTTTACCTACCCCAAGAAAGTAAGAGGAGTCTCCAAATGCTTCTGGTTTGGAGATGGCATTTTTCTGATTGCATGGAGGGCTAGCACACCCCAGAGCCTTAGAGTGATCTGTAGTCATTTGAAAGAACTCCGCTTAGCCATCCATAAAAATAAGGTGGATGAAAAATGTATTTTGCCAAATGCAGTTGGGTGGGAACCCCATTGAATCAGTCCATATTATACATATGAGTAGATACATAGTATGGGAGTTATCTTGGAGTCAGTTGCATGAATTCAGTTAGGCTATCTGCTTGTCATAACTAAGATCAGCATTATTACTAACACAAACACACATGTATACGTATATATATATATATATGTATTGCTATTGAAACAACCTCAAGGTATTTAAACAAGGAATTGGCCATTAAAAAATAGGAAATGGGTAACAGAAATTACATCAACATTGACTATAACATTGTTCAGAAGTTTAACCAGTGTAAAAAAATTTCTACAAGAAGGAAACCAAAGGATGGCAGAAAGTGCTTTACTCAGCAAATATCTAACTTAACAAGTGGTGAGTAAGCACTATGGGGCTGCCATAGGCAACACCTGATTAAGAATATGAACCTGTTTGTAAAATCTGATGAAAAAGGATGGTGGAGGATTATGAAAAGTAAATAAAGCAGAAAGAAGTAGTGGAGGGTAAAACCAGTTTAAAGATAGTTTGGCAAAGTATCTAAGCAAAGTGAAGGACATTTAATCATAAAAATGAAAGTAGGGCTTTTGTGTTCATTTGTTTCAGTTATGTTTGTCTCTTCGTTGGGGTTTTCTTGGCAAAGGTAAAACTAGAGTGGTTTGCCATTTCCTTCTCCAGCTCGTTTTACTGAGGCAAAGAGGGTTGTCAAGTGACTTGCCCAGGGCCACACAGCTAGTAGGTGTCTGAGGCTAGATTTGAACTCACAAAGAAGAGTCTTCCTAACTCGACCCAGTTATCTATCTACTGCAAACTACAGACAAGAAAAAAAAATGGAAAACACTTGCAAAAAACATTTTAACAAATTCTTTTTTCCTGTCAATGGTGGTGGAATCTCCACACTAGCACCGTAACATCACAGTCAGGCATTTTCTTATAGAGGAGTTGGAATTGACACAAACCCAGAAAGGAGGGGAAAAAACAGTTTGATTGGACAATGCATATTTATAGATATATTTCAAAAGTGACACAATTGTGAAGGCATAGATCTGAAGGAAGAGAAGATATCAGAGTAGGAAAAAAACACTTAGACCTTATTAATACACCTCAAAAAAGGCAATTGAGAGAACAGCAGTTGCTACCAACCTATAATCCTGTTCTCTCATCTATACAAAATCTTCGAGAATTATCTCAAAGGTAGCCTCAATGAGGATATTAGGGAACAAGCAGTCTTTCTTAATCAATAATCAATAATTAATTCCATCTTTACTATTTCACAATTAACTGAAAGATAGAGAATATAAGATTAATTTTAAAAAATTATTTAATTGAATGAAACACTAGAACAAAATAAAAAGGCTCTTTTACAACAAGATAATTTTCACCCACACATTAAGATTATTTAGGATTCCTTAGAAGTTAGAACAATAGAAATAACCTTGTCTGATGACCCTTTGAAGATATACTGCAGATATAGCTGCTTGGCCAAAGGAATTCATCACTGTGATGGAGGAGATCTGTTATAGAGTTTAAATTGAAATATTCCTTATGGATGGTGAGGTCCTCCAGATGCTTCTGTTTGTAGATAACATCTGCTGATGGCATTGAGATCTTTAACATTGCAAAGCCTCATGGAAGAGATCTGCAACTACTTAGAGAAGATTTGCTTGACCACCCTCACAGAAAAGACCCGGTGGGTAAAGAATGGCTACTGTCCAGATTATAACAAATTTGGATGGACAACCTGTAGAACTTGAACATTGGCAATAGGCCAGACAGTACAGGGGGACAGTGAATTAAATAGAGAAGAGCTGGCTGGACTAACTTTGAGAAACTATGAACTTCCTTTAATTACCCTAAGCTTTCTATTAGGTACATATTTTAATACCATTTTAAAAAATCATTACTATATGATAGCATGACATGGAATAAACAGCCTTAAAAGACTTAAAAGTGAATGTCACAGTGGGCAATAAAGATGTATGGGTTTGAGCAGACTGTACCACATAATCAATGGAGAGCTCCAAAGAAGAAAAGGAAGAAAAGATAATCATTAAGGAATTATATGATAATAAGAGAAGATGAGCTTTTTCTGGGTCAAGGGCAAGAGATAACAAGTGGACCCTTACAATATCAGGAGAAAACAAGGAAGGATTTCAGAATGTTGGGAGGACATGCATAAGGAATGGCTGTCTTGCATTTTGTGGTGTTGGAAGGAACTTCTGGATCAATGGAATCAGAGATTCATTTGAGTACATGTACACTGATACATACATACACACACACATGTAGGTATGTTTGTGGGTTTGGCTATAGATATATAGACATCTAAATCAAAAAATCTTCTTTTGATCTGTCCACCTCATGATAGCTATCGTCTTAGTCTTTCATGGCTAAGCTCCTCAGGAAGGTCATCCGTAACTGGTACCTCCATTTTCTTTCCTTTCGACCTCTTCTTAACTCTCTGCAGTCCGATGTCATTATTCAACTGAAATTGTTTCTCTCTCTCTCTTTCTCTTTCTCTCTCTCTTTCTCTCCCTCCTCATTTCCACCTCCAGTTTTCTGTGGTTTCCTTCAAGTTCTAGCTAAAATCCCACCTTTTACAAGAAACCTTTCCTGACCCCTTTTAATACTAATGCCTTCCCTCTGTTGATTATTTCCAATGTGTCCTGTGTTTATCTTGTCTGTACACAGTTGTTTTCATATTGTCTCTCTCATTAGATTGTAAACTCCTTGAGAGCAGAGACTGTTTTTTGAGTTTCTTTGTATCCCCTTAGCACTTAGCATAGTGCCTAGCATAGGGTAGGTAGGAGGAGGGTAATCAAGCATTTATCGAGTGCTTACCATATACCACACAATGTGCTAAGAGCTTCTCAAACATCTCATTTGGTCAAATCAAGGTGCTTAATAAATGCTTGTTAACTTTGCCCTTTCAAAGTTTCCAGTGAAATCTGTATTGACAAATTTAATTGCCTTTTCTCAATCCTTATCTTTCTTGACCTCTTTATAGCCTTTAACACTGTTGATCATCCTTTCCCTCTTGATAGTCTTTTCATGACATTGCTGTCTCCTGGTTCTCCTCCTACCCATCTGACTGCTCCTTTTCAATCTTCTTTGCTGCTTGTTCCAAAAGGTCATCTCTGATAATAGTTTGTGTCCCACAGGGCTCTGTCCTGGGCCCTCTTCCCTTCTTCTTCAGTTATACCTTCCACATCGCGACTTTCCCCATCATGGTTTTAACATATTGCAGGTCGACATAAGAAATTAAATGGGAGCGTTGGGGGAGTTTTGTGAAAGCCAAAGACAAGATGATGACACAGATGGCCAGCAGATGACACGGAAAAAGTTAGAAACTCAGAAATGCATGAAATATATGCGTAGTATTGTATAATATCAACATATTTTATCTTTTAATATCATAAATTTACATAATTTCTTTTTTAAAGTTAAAATAAGTAAAAAGTTAAAGTTTGTGAAAAGTTGATGAAAGCCAGCAGACACACAAAGGCTAGTATTTTTACTTAACATTGAGCTACATGTAGCCTATGACCAAATACTTAACCCACATTTTACAATAAGATATTGTAAATACCCCATAAAAGAAAAAGAAAAAAATCAGATTTCTTCTCTAGTACAAATAGAAGGCCAAAAATGTTTACGTGGATTTGCCAGATTGTCAGGGCGCCATAACCCTCTTCATAAGG